CTGCCGAGAGATCAGGAGGAGATCTATCAATGACAGCCCTGACAATTAATTGTGAGCCACCAAGATCCAACTTAAGGTTCCAGTTTGGGCCAGCGCAGGGCCTCAAGGGGCTTCACTTTATATGTACCACTGCATATAGTTGAGTATTTTCACACAAAGTTTGCGGTCCGTTTGTAGTTAGTCACTCCGGGTTTATACTTCCTCCTGCTTTGAGAGAGTCTAACCGAGCCACAGCCCCGATCACCTCAGGTCGCAATCCGATCAATTCAGTAACTTAAGTGAGCGTTGAGTGAGCCGGATGCCTTGACAATAGCATCGACCCTCGGCAACTGAGTTGAAATTGCCACAAATAACTAATAAGTACCAGGACTAATGGCGGGCAAGGTGGGTTCACGACGAAGATTCCTTTTTCTACGGCAACCATGGAGCCTTTCCCTTTGTCGATGCAGTTGGAAGCAGTAAACCCGCTGAAAAAAGTCCCTAAGCGCGCACTACCATCCCCGCATTCCAAAACTCCGTCCCCATATTCTAATCCAGTGTTATCTTCCTCTACGGCCTATAACTCTCGGTGCTCATCTTCCGTGCCCCCTTCCCTGCCGGACTCACCGAAAGTGTTGCGAATCACGATAGCCACTTCATCAACACGAAGAATCGTACGACCTCTTCCAGCTATCCCGTCGCCATCTAGTGCATCTCACTCCCCATCCACTCCACGCTCTTCCCGACCTCTTCCTACGCCTCCCTGTGCAAATCCACCGGTCCCAATCCCATTTACAGACTCGCTCGAATCCGAAGATATGACCTCGCTGAGGTCTAATAGAGCGACTGCCGAACCTAGTTGGCTTCCTAGGGATCATCCGCCCGCCCTATCCAACAGTACTCCAAACTTCAGACCGCCAGAAATCCATATAATACGCCCTCTACCACCATCTTCGCAAGAACTTGAACCTTCGAACCCTCAGCCGCCTCGGCGCCACAAGAACATGTACCGTATAACGGTGGAAGAGCAAAACTCCGATGCTGCTCCTGCAGTTGATATTTCAGAGTTTTTACCAAGAAGTGCGGCTTTGGAGCACTTCAGGACAGCAACAGCGAGGACCCAGGGTGCTGCGGGAAATACATCGGATCTATCATCGCCAGAGGATGAGGAGAGTGGAGATGAGGTTCAGGTGCACTGTTATTCGAAGGCGGAGAAGACGGTGGTTCCTTTGACTGCACGGTTCAGTTGTCACTGGTTGCGTGAGAAACGGGGTCGTTGGGAGGAAGTGGACTACCAGTCTGTTCTTGGCGCGCTTCGATCATTATGAATCTATGATTTGTATACCTACTAATTCAACTACTCTACTACCAGCTGTTGCGGCTAATAACACCTTGCTTTGTCGGAAGTTCACAAAGTATTGACCCATGGAAGATCTGTGATTCTACTCACACCACTCGTCGCCGACCTTCAGTCCGATTCTACTCGACTTCAAAGCAAGGGGACTAAATCTACTACCAGGAACCACTGCCCCTCTATGGCGTGTTTCAGTGAATGTTGATGCGTTGAGGGTGGCAGGCGCGCAATGGCATGCAATGCAATGCTGGGACGCAGCCCTTGATCCACTCCACTATCCACGTCGATTCCACGATACTTACTTGGCTCCTCGTACCCATGGATTCCTGACACTGTCCCCTGCCGCCCGAGCTTGTGGAAATCATCTTTGACCTTATCGATTCAACGAGTGATTTGTTGTCCCTTGCTTTGACAACGAACCACCTTTGCGCACTCATAGTTCCCACTCACCTCCACTTTCCTCACATCTGCTGCGACTTTCGAAGACCTGCGCACTTGCCGCTGAACCGTTTGGGACCTCCCCGTGCCACAGGCTTGGAATAATATGGCTCATCCCAATCTCAACTTTCAAGGAGATAAACGGACGACGTTCCCGAAAAAGAATGCGAGAAAATAATTGACGGCTGCTTCATGGTGTTGACAGCAGCACTCGAGTGGATGCATCGATTAACGACGTTTATATGGAGGGGAAATCGGCGACCTTCAAGCGCGGTCTATATTGCAATCCTTAACTCATACTCACGTCTTGCTTATACGGACTTGTGGTTGGATGCATTCACAACGATCAGAGGGAATCGCTAATCTCGCTGATACACCCCCGTCAGTCCATAATTCGGGATGTTTCTGATTATCTTCTGCTCTCAGCTCCGGCGACTGTCTAATCTCACACAGTTTGCTTTCACTAGACATGCAGGCACTAATTCAGCGACATTTGAGGTTCACCTGAAGCTTTTGATTCCGATCCTCCTCGCCAGCCCTGCACTCGTGGACATCTACATCAAATTTACTGGCTCGAATTTTTCGGAGGCTGTGGAAACTAGCATGTCAACCATGTTCCGAGCTGACAATTGACCGTACCTTCAACGGCTCACGTTCTTGGGGGTTCCTCTCCACCAGACGTATGAAGAACTTTCCCTGGCTCATCCTCATTTGGAACAGCCGTGCCTCAGGGACAGACGTCCGACTGGAGTCAATGTGGGCATTGTGAACTGGGCCGGGCTCAAAAGTCTTCATATTGACGCCAATCACACTCCGATATTTCATATATCTTGCGAAATACTGCAACGTCTTCACCTATCTGGCCATCACCTGTGCAATCCTCGAATCACCTGTGCAATCCTCGAATTCCAGATGATGCAATTGTAACATATTTTGACCTTGACATCCAACATAACAAGCCTCGGACTTGCTTAGGTCGAGTACACGCCGGACTGGTTGCTTCATAACGGATTATGCATGCCCCGCATCGAGCGCTTGGGTATTCGATGGTTGGATTATGGCAATACATTTCAGTTGATGCACACTCCGCCTTTACAGGGTTATAGAGGCTAATTTAAGCTACCAAGGATATTACCCCTGGCATCAGGCGCTTGAAATGCTACCAAATCTCCTGGGTACCGTTGAACTGACATCATTTTCCCCACCGCGCAACCGCATCTGCTGTGCAACCCCAACTCTACGCCTTCAACGTATCCACTTCATATCTGACATGAACGGATTCAACGACATTTGGGTTTTCCTTGATCCATCGACCCATGAAGCTGTAAATTTCTCGGTACAACCCGAGGAGGATCCAGAAGGGCCCCCATGGAGTGGGGGTTATTTTGGGGGTTAGATACTCGCTTGAATCCTCGCGGAAGAGCGTCTTGCCAAAATGGCCCTATTACTTAAATCATTGCATTTAAGAATTTGCCAAGAAGGTTGTCGTGTACCATGGGTGCCAACAATCGGCTCGGCAATGATGAACTCTAACTAACTCCATCCATTTCCCATCCAACAAGCAAAAGCCACGATAGCAGCAACTTGTTTCGATCAAGTGACCTCGGGGTTATATATAGTGCAAAGTACGCAAACGTATGGGCCCCGCGCGCTTCCAACTGCGCCATGCTGCTATGCGGTTCTGTAAAGATCGAGAGACCAAGGTAGCAATCAAGTCATGAAGATGTAATGTACATCGTTGTCCCACACCTCCGCGCCAACAGGCTCCTTTACCTCAGAGGATATCGTCGACAGAATATCTGCGTTGCGTTTGTTTCGAAGCCAAAGTCGAGTACGCAGGGTAAACGCAGCGCAGAATGACAAAAGAAGGCACCTGGAACTGCATAAGCCTAGGTCGTAGAAATAACGGGCAGTACGAACGCGGCTGATATCGCATGTCCTTTCCGGAATGAATCTTCTGGATCGAAATAGACTTGAGGAGATGCACTCATTTCCAAGACGTTGTCATTTTGCTATTTTCCCCCGAAGAACAGAAAAACTCACATCGATACGCAGTTCGAAATAGAAACAATGAACGCAGTTCCGACGCCACGTTTTGAGGTTGGCGAGAAGACATTTGCAGCCCAACTCCTGTCGCACGAGGCTCGAATTAGCAAAGCGCAAAAACCCGGGAACCCCAATCTCACATGACTAGAGGGAAGAGGCTGAAATTGCCGCCGACAACAAGAAAAAGAGCAAAATACGCAGCCCCGACACTTTTCTGGACGGATGTTGCAAGAATGACATATCCGATGAACGACAAAGCACATGAGAACATGATATGCCATCCTCTGTCCTTTGTTCGATCGCTATGCCAAGCCTGGAAGAAAACCATGAACCACCCAACAGCATAAGGGGCGACAGTGAGGCCTTGAGCGTTGATTGACGAAAAGCCAAGGCCCTTGATCAACTGCGTAGCAATTTGCGATAATCAAGACATATAAATGAAAGAACGAGTGAATACTCACCGTAGGTAAAAAGTATGAGACAGTTGCAACTCCGACATTGACTGGAAAACAGCTCAGCCTTCTTCGCCAGATCAACAAGATTCGCTACGCACAACTTGCATATATCAGTGTAAACAACCAAGCGTTGGGATCGGCAATGACTGCCTTGAAGCCCTGCCAGCCTGTCATGCCACCATGGGACTGGGGTTTATGGTCCCTATTGAGACGGGCTTGTGCAATAGCTCGCTCGCGGGGAGTGAGAAATCTAGCAGTGAATGGGAATGACGGCAGGAAGAGCAGAATGGCCAATGCCATGATCAGGGTCGGGATTGCTTCAATCTTGTAAAGTCTTTCAGTTGACGGGTTGCTTTTGCCTTAAATTCGATCTTCTCACCAAGAAGAGGAACTGCCATCTGCACCAAGATAAGCTAGGTAATTTCTGAAAATATGAAGGACGACAAACCCAGCAAGAACGGACGTGTGTGCCCTAACAAGCCCAAAAGCGAGAAGGCCCTAGTAAACCGGGTCAATTACATTTCAATATCACCCACGATTACTCACACCGATTGCGCCTGGGAGGGTTCCGGTCATACAAAGACTAAATAGCAGGGAAATATACCCTTATCAACAGCTGATCAATGTGACATCGCCATACCTGATACGCATTGCAAGTTCATGCCTAGTGCAAAGCCAAAATGCTCAAAGACCTGGAATAATGTATGAAAGACAACGCACCTTTTGTACCAAAAAGAGAGATAGTAAATCATGCCGGCATAATATCCAGCCTCTCCAATTCCCAATAACACTCTTTATTTGCGTAGGTCAGCACGGTCGGCGACCATCAGCTGCTGGAACCGCTAACCTTAGGACCAAGAGACCTCCGTACCCTTTTGCATATACAATAGAGAGAGATGCGATACCCCATCCCGTGAGCGAAATAAAGAAGCTTCGGTAATTCCGGGGTAAGCACATCTTTCGTTGAGAAAATGGGAGATCTCTCACAATCTGTTGGCACCAATGTGCCTTTGAAGGACTGAGGCCCTTTTAAGATTCATTGGTTTCGAAATATAACAAGCTAAATGCTCAACTGTTTGCAGGCATTTCGAGGAGGCCTAGGAAACATGGTTGTTAGAAACGACGAGTTGTAGCTCTTTGAAAGATGATGCCTACAGTATCCAACGTAAAAAATACTCAGCGCGAGAGTCCATTTGTTGTTATTCGATATACCCTTCAATGCCAATGTGTCAGCGGAAGAGGATGAACACAAGCTCACAGGAACAATCTACATAATTATCGTTGAAAGCCTTGACGACATGCGCATTGCCACTGGACGTGTTGTCAGTAAAGTTCCTTTAAATACTCGCAGGAAAGCTCACATGTTCGTACGGTCTTTAAACCACGGGGTAAGTCAAAGCAGGTTGATGATCTCCATTAATACAGCTTACCGAACTGGTTGACTAAAGAGGACACATAATCAATGATTGCGGAAATTGTATTGGGATCACAGACCCACAAACGTAGCTGGGCACATGGTCACCAATGAATGAATGTTTAAACCGGGAAATTGAAGCTATACCTGCAAATTACCAGAGGAAGTACAGTCCTGTCGATCTTCCGCTTGACTTTCTTCTGTGGAAGAGCACATTAGCACAAGGTAAGCGAAGGGGAGTATCAAGAAAGCCAATTGAATACCTCCTCTTCGTCTGTGTACTCGACCGTTTCCGCATCACGGTTCACAGCTTCCGCGTATGTAGAGTCAATAGGTGCAAAGAAATGCTTCCTCGTGGGCTTCAAGCCTAATTGTGTCTGGTAGAAGGTGCCTTCACCGAGTTTGGTTTCCTCGAGGTCAGGTCTATATAAGGGCGGTGCTGTTAGTGTCATATCTGGGAACTGATGCGAGGGAAGACGAGGTGTTGAGCATGGAACCTTCTTATACCATGAAGAGCAATTTCCATAAGAAGAGAAGCAACCTAGAGCTTCTTTTGTGACCACCTGACCTAGCTGAACAGCTGAAGGAGCGTAATGTAGCAGCGGATACGCCGTGGGAAAGTGTGGCTACAAAGGAGATGTCGCGTGTAAAAAATAATCGCTGTCGTCGGAGCCCAGGCTTTAGGGAAACCGAGCGGTTAAAACATAGGATCCAGCTGACCTGGGCTTGGCCAAGTTCTGTGTACAGGCCAGGTGGGATTCCCAGTCCAAATGAGGATCTGGGGCGCGCTTTCATTGTATCTGGATGGTAAGGTGAACAACTTATCATTGATCAAAAGCATACGAGAATGAGTCAACGTCTGCATAAATCTCAATTGCACAAGCTAGCATCAGGTCATAAAAGATGAAGCGTGGGTCGTCATCCCAAACCTCGTCGATGTACTTACGCTGCAGTGATAGCATGGCCCTTTCGAAAAGAATCCTGCCCAGCTCCTGTTTTCCCCGTTGTCGTCAACCGTTGTGGGGTATGAACAGCCACATTACAAACGGGAAGAGACTGTGATTGCTCCAGAGCACCAAGAACAACGCAAAATGTGAGGCAGCAACATTCTTCTGCGAGCACGTAGCGAGTATGACATATCCTATGAAGGAGAGTGCACATGAGAACATAAAGTGCCAACCTCTGTCCCCCGTCCGATCGCTGTGCCATGATTGAAAGAAAACGATAAACCAGCCAAACACATATGGGGCGACAGTCAATCCTTGCGAGTCGATCGGCGAGAATCCGAACCCGTTGATGACGTGAAAGCCCATCCATGATCAATCGATCGGAACTATCTCGGGAGGGACCAACCATAGGTAAGAAGAGCTTGTCGAGACACCCAATACACGATAAGATGGTCAGAACTAATCAAGTGCAAGGGTGAGAGGGGACGTCACACAGCCAGGATAGGCCAGCGTGAAGAAAGCATTTGGGTCTGCAAACGCAGCTTTGAACTCTTGCCCACCCGGTCATCCCACCGTGTGATCGAGGCCTCTGGTCCCGGTTCAACCTGTGCGGGGAAGGAGAACGTCGCGGCGAGTGGGAATGAGGGCAGATAAAAGAGAATTACGACCGCAAGTAGTAGGGTCGGAATGGCCCCGACATTGAACAGAAGTAAAAAAACATCGCTATTTGAGCACGGTTCTTGCGAATCCGAGGTGTTGTTGCCAAGAAAAGAAACTGCCAGTTAGCAAGAACGGAGGGATGGGCTCTGACAAGTACAAAGGCAAGGAGTCCCTTGATAACCCTGTCAGCATGATTTCGTTCTTATCTCTTGCTCCACTCACAGAGATGGCGCCTGGGACTGTACCGTTCATGACAAGGCTGAGTCCTCTGTCGCACCAGTGTTATGTGGTTCACAATCGATTGAAGCTCACTTGACACGGACAGTTACTTCGCGTCTAAGGAACGGGTTGTTAAAAGACACTGAGAAGCCTGGGAGTAGGAACTGTATGGAAGGATAGGTAATACACCATGCCTGTGAAGTATCCGGCTTCGCCAATGCCCAGGACCACTCCCACAGCAAACTGGCGTAACCACGCGAATAAACGAAGGTCAGAGAGGCAAGTCCCTAGATGGTCAATGGGATAAAAAAAAGCTTTGTTCACGACAACATCAATCAAGCTCGTGATCAATTGCATGGGCATCTATCCGTTCCCCGTGGCGTTGAAGCACTGATGAGCACGACGCTATATCATGTGATTGAGAAGTGTGGACTCACTGTTTGCGGGCACTTCAAGAAGACCTGTCGGTTATATAAATTTCATAACAACTTTTTAGAGGGGGAAGTGGCAGGAAGATGTACAATAAACGACATAGAATGCCGTGTTCCATTTATGATTGCCCGCGATTCCCTAGGAAGCCCGTCACGTCTAAGATGTTTCAACTCACGAAGTTAACGCCATGCAAAGTCCTGATCTATACGACCACCGTCTATAAGCCACCGATGATAGCGTTCATTTGATCAGCGCCTGAGCCTGGGTTTACTCTCGCCGCTCGACAGGGTTCGTTGTATTCAAGCCGCAGACCTATTTCCGAGGACGTAATGTTGCACCATGTGCTGCATGGTCAGCCTTTGATGTTTGGTAGGCAAAAAGTGAGCCGCACGAGGCTTCATTCAACGTAAAACGCCCTTGTGAGAAGGTGAAGAAACGCGTGTTCCACTGAGGTGAGGAAGCTTAGAAGCATATCAGAGCGCGCTGAAGCACATGAGGCG